TCCTTTTTTTATCATGATCCAGAAAAGTATATATGTAATTCCATGCATCTAGCAGTCTAGTCAATTATATATATATATATATATATATATATATATATATATATATAAAAGCATAAGGTATGGTGGATTCTACCACTGTTAGGGTACTTAAAAGGAACATTATATCTTATTATCATTTCTGAGGTAAATACAATACTATAGTCATCATTACTATTTATAATGAAACTACAATGGTATAACTGTTATCACTTCTTACATACATAATTTAGTCTATTACTAATGAGTAGCTCTGATAACCTAACGAGTCTTTAGAGATCTGTCATCTATATTCTCTGAAAGGTTTTGTAAGAATGAGCATCTTTTCTTATTATTGAACATGATTTCACAATAATGTCAAGCAATACAAATAAAATAACACACTAATCAATTAGAAAATACAGTTCATTTTCATATGAATACAATGATCATCAATATATATAACTTTATTATATTTTCTTTCTACTATTCTTGGATTTCTCATCTCAAACTTGTACTGCCCCTGAGGTCTTCCTTAGTATAAATAGTTACTAGATAGCCACCGCTACATAGATACAACGTGTGCTGACCTAACCCTTTTTTAGCAAAAGCATGGTTAAGAGTTTAGGTCAGGAAATGCGTGTGAGGTCTATGGTACTTCTACTCTCATTAGTTATGTGCAAAGTATCAACTACCTTATTTCTCCAAGATTTCTAAAATCACCTCCATCTCAACATTTAATATATTTCTGAACTATTCGTACTTGTCCTTATCATTTTCCTTTCTCATTCCATTTTTCTTTCTCATATATCCCATTACGATTCTACATTTTTCATTAGTCATTATAGCTCGAACTTATTACTTTTATACTAACATGTTATTCATCTTTTTCTCTTTCTATTTTATTCAAGTTCACTACCTATGTCATATATCAATCATTCATTGCCAGAGATTAGGGTCTCCAGACTCAATTCATAGCATGCTTACATATATTTTCAATACACATATCATTCTAAGTCATCAAGAATAGAAAAACATATTTTATCAATGAGATCCTTTAGATATATATTCACAAACAAGAAACTCACAACCACATCCATATGAGCACAACACATCATGTTATTAGTAATAGAATAAAGCTCTCTTACCTCAAATAGACAAATTTGTAAAGTGGTAAGTGGAAGAGATCATTTAAAAGACTAAAGTCTTCCTACATTTTATAGAGAAAGTACCTTTTGAGAAAAAAGAAAACAGAGAAAATAAATATGAGAATTATAACATCCTTATTTATTTAATACAGTAATGAAAAAATAATTTTGGAACTGAAAAGGGGAAATTAAATTAAATTTGTTTGCTCGCAAAATATAAAGTGTGGAAATATAAAACCTTCATTCAATTTACTCATAAAAATTTAAATGATAAAACAATGGGAAATAAATAAATTTTAAGTAGGAAACTAAAATAACATTAATGTACATTGTTCTCATTAAATTACAAGAGTTTCATAATTACAAAATATAACTTCAAAATACATTATGACTCGTCTATATTATTTACAAAATGCAAAATACAAAATATGATAATTCTTAATCAGTAGTCTATCCACCAAAAGACTGAAGACGATACTAGTCATCATCCCTAAACCACCCTCTATTTCTGCTATGTCTTTGGGAGATAAGTCTTCGTCTTCACTAAAATCACCTACATTAGCTACCACTTCAGTGCCTGTGATTTACTCTGTGGTACAATGGCTTGGTCTCCTATGATGGTCATGACCCTGAAAAGTATAAACATAATTTCATGCATTTGACGGTCAAGTCAAACCTCTATATATAACCAGACATATAGCATGGTGGATTCTACCACTGCTAGGATAGTCAAAAGATACATCTTATCCTATAGTCATTTCTAAAGTAAAAATAGTACTAGAACTATCATTACTACGTATACTAAAACTACAATGGGATAACCGCTACCACTCCTAGAATAAGCAGCTCTGACAAACTAACAAATCTCTTGAGGTCTGTCATATTTATTTCCTGGAAGGTTTTGTAAGGATGAGTCTTCTTCTCATTACTAAACATGAATTTATAATTAAACCAAACAATACAAATAAGGATAATACATTAATCAATCAAACAATGCAATTCATGTTCATATGCATATAATAATTATCAATTATTCAATTTATCACATTTTCTTTCTACTAAGTCTTGGAGTTCTCATTTTAAGCTTTCACTGCCTTTGTGATTCTTTGAGGTCTTCGTTAGCATAGATATTTGCTAAATAGCAGCAGTTACATGGATACAGTGTGTTCCAACTCGACTCCTTCTAACAAAAGCATGGTCAGGAGTTTTGGTCAGGAAATGAATGTAAGGCTTGTGGTGCTTTTACTTTCATTATTTATGCGCAATTCAAGAAGATCATCTACCACTCTCATTTTCCCAAGATTCCTAAAATCCCCTTAATCTTCCATACTCTCAGTGTATCTCTGAACTATTTACAGTTGTCCTTATCATCTTTCTTTTCTCATCACTATTTTCCTTTCTCATTCCATTTCTCTTTTCATATTTCTCATCACAATCTAACTTGATATTTTCACATTAATATTTTATTCATCCTTTTCTCTTTCTATTTTATTCAAGTTTATTAACTATATCACATACTAATCATTCATCACCAGAAGTTGGTCACCTCTAAACTCATTCCAAAATATACATACATAGATACTCAAAACATATATCATTCAACTCATCAAAACACAGAAAACATATCTAACATACATTTTAAATCATATGTCACATCACAATATTTTCATGAGTACAAACATATCAAGTTTTCAAAAATGCAACAAAGCCCTCTTTACCTCAATGGACAAGTTTAGTGAAGAAAGTTAAAAAAGTCGTTCAAACGGCTAAGGTCGTCCTACATATTACAAAGAGGAGCACTCTTTGAAAAGAGAGAAAATAGAGATAAAAACGAAGAGTCAAACTTTGAGATACTTACTAATGACCTCGTAGAGTCGAGGTTCAAGCTTGGATTCAGAGTAACTTTAGAGTTTCTGAGGTTTTTCTCTAAAGAAGAGAAGGGAGAGTTCAGAGAAAAAGAGTTATGAAATTTTTTTTGGATTGTAATGCAAGTTTCTGTGCTGAACTTTCTTAAATACCCCTAAATTTCTGTGCGCTCTCGCTTAAGCGAACGAATTTTCACTTAAGCAAGACTATTCTTGCTTGGGCAAGAAAACCAGACAATTAGGGGTTGTATTCTCCAACTTTTTATCCTGTTATTCTCACTTGAGCGAGAGTCATTCTCGCCTAAGCGAGCCCTTTCTCATGATCCTACCACACATGTGGTCAAGTGTCTTGTATTATCAAGGTATTTTTTTTTGTCCAAATCCATGATATTTTTTCATTTTTAGGTTAAATCTTTCAAATTCATCTTTCAAAGTTTATTCTCATAATTTGCTCATGTAGTCCATTGATCCAAATATTAGAGTTGTCAAAGTGAGTTAAAACTCTAAATTATACCCTACTTAGCTACCTATATAGTCCTATTTTTTTAAAGCCTTACAATTAATGGGTTTATTTTGGTCCTAAGTCCAATATAAAGAAAATGATCGGTTAGGGTCAAGGTTAGGGGTGGGTTAGCCCACCTATTTTAAAAAGTAATTAATAATTATTATATTATTTATTTATAATATTATTTTATTTAAATAAATTAAAAATTACATTTTAAATATAGAAATTAATTTTAAAGTATAAAGAATTTCATAATTTTATTTAAAACCAAGTACATGCACCAAGTATATTATTCATTGAATTTAAAGTACAAAAATTTATATTGATGCATCAATTCAACAAAGAAAATCAGTTTTTGTTTTGTTAAATAATAGGATGAACATATAAAACTTAATCCTTGAGATACTCCTCAAACTTTAATTTATACCACTCTTGGGGATTAAGAACTTATAAATTTAAGAAAACTTGTTACCACATATCTCCATCAAAGAGAACTTCGCCCTCACTTTTGTTTTCTCTTGATATTCTTGATATTTTCTTGAGTTTTTCTCCCTTTTTTTTCTTCAAATTCTTGCCTCTTTTATTGATATGTATCCCTAAATATGCGCATGTAAGTGCTGCTTTTTACATATTTAAATGCTTGTTTTATGACTCATAAGATTTATCAAATAATATTTTGATTTCGTGCTTTGAAAATTTGGCACATCAATCAGATTTAGTCAAATTTTCTTTCATTTTGTTTCACTAATTAAATTAGGTTCTTACACTTAGTTGGAATTACCAACTAACGGTGATTTAGTCCAAAGTCTGCTACACTTAAAGAACTTATCAAATTTGTTCATACAAGTCTTTTGGCCAATCAAAATTATTCATGAAGTCAAATAGGTCAAAGTAGTCTTATTTTAACTCTAACTTTTATTTTTAATGTTTTTTAACTTGTAGAATTTTTGTCAAAAAAAAAATATTGCATCATTATTTAACCCAATTACTGTTTATTAACTTAAATTAGTATTTACATAAATTAAATTAGACTTTAATTTTAATTTACACTGATTACACATCTCATGGTTTAATTTAGCGTTTGTTTTATCTCAATTTCTTCTAAATTTATCATACACATCTCTAAATTGTTATGAATAAAAATTTTGGTCTTAAACCTTCCCAAACTCATCTTACACATACAAAATAAAAATAAAAATTTCACAAATAATTAAATTTTAAGAAATAGAAAAATTGAGAATTTTACAATTTTTCTATTAGTGACGCATCTAAAAATTTTAAGAAAATTAAATATTTGTTAAAGGAAGTAAAATAAAAAAATTATTTTATATTATTTAAAATCTTAAGAAACTAAATAATAAAAGGTTTTTATTTTTTAAAAATATATAAACAAATCTTAAACTTAAATGTAATAATCAATTATAGAGCATGGAATTATGATTTTTAGCAACATTGGATGTAATATACAAAACAATCGCAAGATACACATATTTATTCATTATCCCTTAAAATTGAAAAGATGCACATAATAAGGCATACTAAAAAATGTTCCTGGTAGGTAGGTATTGCAAGTGCTCAAAACCTGCCTATACCTTCTCACTGAATACAAGTATGCTGACTATATAAAATCATTGGAATAACATATTCAAATACAACAGCAGACTAAGTCTTTTCATTTCATGTGATAAATTAAGTGTCGAAAACCTACCAAATTATGCTTTATAAAATTCCATCACTCCTAAAGTTGAGAAAGCACGGCAAATAACTTTAAAACTAGAAAAGCCAGAGTCTTTACACAGATTCTCAAATTCCTTCTCAGTTCTTTCTCTCCCACCAAAAATAAACATAAGGTTGTCTATACTGGAAGCAAACTTTTCTGCATCAGATGATTGAATTGTCTCAAACATTATGAAGTCCACAACAATCACCTTACCATTTTGGGGCAGAGCTTCATAGCAATTAGTCAAAACTTTTAAGCATTTTTCATCAGGCCAATTGTGACAAACAGCCTAGAGATGTTTAAAAAGTCACATGAAAAAATAATTGTGAGTTGTAACCCAAATCATCTCTTGTAACTTGAATATATAATAAGAGTTTAAACTAACCTTTAATATAATTGCATCACCTTTTGGAACACTCTCAAACATATCTCCTCCAACATGTTCTATCCCTTCATAGAATTTGATAATCCCATATTTTAGATAATGAAAGAAAATGCTATTCTTGCATTTTACTTGATATTTGGCACAATCATAACTATAAAATAATGAGTGTCAGCTTCATTCACATAAATTGACTATAGATTTTGATGATGAAACTAGTCTATCTACCTTTATGGTGTTTATTGACAGATGCTAGCATCCTACATATTTGATAGGATCACATTTTGTGAAACATTGTTGAACACATAAATCAAATGAACAAATGCATAGTTTTCAAATCATCAACACAAAATCAATATCTTGCCTATCAATTAAGATTTGGTATAAGCAACATATCAACTAGGCAACCATATGCCTAGTTTAGAAATTATCAAAACATAATCAGCACCTACATCTTAAACAAATTAAATATCATCCTATCGACCTTTACTCTCTCATAAGTCATGATAAACAACAATTTTCTTTGATTTTTCACAAAACCTTGCATTTAGTGTCAGCAACCCCAATTGTGATTGTGACACGGTTGTGAAAACCTCTAAAAAAAAAATACCTGGATAAGCTGGAGCATTTTGTATCACTTGGGGTCGATCAAAATTGATACCCTTAATTGAAGGATACTTGGAGATAATCACATTCAAATTTTGTCCAATGCCACCTCCCACATCAACCAACGATGATATTCCTTCAAATCCATCATATATTTCGAGTATCTTCCCTATCTCCACTTTGCATAGATCGGCTATCGATTTATTAAAAATATGATTCAATGACAAATCTCTCTGTATGCTTTGATAAAAAGGCATTCCATTGACTTTACTGTATATGTCATTGTCACAATCTAAAAGGACCTCCTTATAATTGAGGCTGCCAAGAATCACAACAAATTAGTCAAATTAAAACTAAGAAACCTGACAAATTATATGTTTAAACTTAAAAAGTAAAAAACAAATGATATATAAAAAGAAATTTACTTTTTGAAAATTTTATGAATTGCTGAATAAATCTTTATTTATTTATAACTATATGATAAAATACATTTTATTTTCAAAGATAGTATAAACTTTAAGAACTTACTCAAAGCAAATATTCAAAATAATCATAAATCTAAATGTCTTTTTACAAAAGCTTAAATAAGAACTCTAATTTTTTAAAAATAAAAGGTTTTTGCATTAATTAAAAGAAGCAGAAGTAACTATGAAAAAATTGAAGCAGCAGCAAAGTTACTTACAAAACATCCACGAGAGTTTGGTGAGCAAGAAATATTGGCAATAAAGTTAAGGAGCCTCTATTCGGATCATTGACAAAGTATTTACCAGCCCTTGATAATTGATAGAGTCTTTCAACCCCAAAAGCTTGATTGGGGCGTGTGGAACAGGTAAGAAGAGAGTGACTAGCAAGCAAACACAGCATGCGATCAAGCCTTCTAGGCAATTCTGGGTGCTGTTTTGGAAGCTGAGAAGCGATTTCAGAGGCTGAGACACCAGGTGGGGTTGCCTTACCTATGATCTCAAATATGTTTAGTTCAATTGCAGCATTCAAAACTGCTGAATAGATAAGACCACAGCTAGGAACTATGGCTGTGAGGAATTCATTGTCCTCTTGTTTAATCACAGGTGAAAATTCATTCAAAGCCATTACACACTCTCTTTTGCTTTTTGGTCTTTCTTTCGGATGTTCAATCTGCTTCTGCAGGATATTTCTTCATCTTATAATAGGCCAACTACTGTTGTCAAACCAAGGATTATGAAAATGTTTTATTTGTAGAAAAGTCAACAAAGAGAGATATAATTTCTTGGGATGTTTGAAAAGTTGTCATTTAATTGGAAAATATATTCTTCACCACAGAAGTTTCTTACCTATAAAAATGGAAGAATGAAAATTGCAGTTTTATCTTCGTTTTAATTTTTAAAATTAAATTAGAATGACTAGAATGACAAAAGATACAGTGTTGAAAAAATAATTTCGTTTTAGATTAGTTATGACAATAAGAATATAAAATAATTTTCTTTGATTTTGATTTATTTTTTAATATTATTTAACAAATTTATTAAAAAAGTATATGCAAAATAATTACAAAAAATATATAAATTCAAATGAATTTATTTTAATTGTGTAAAAAATGGAATAAATCATTTATTTAGATAAGGTCATAAAAGAAATAATTAATAATACCTTTCAATGTAAGTTAATTTTATCCTGAATGCAGATAAAATATTAAAAAACAAGATAAATTACTTTCTTTATTCTGATTATAATTTTTAATAAAAGATTGAGATGGTAAAGGGTTAATGGAAAAAATGAAAAAAATATGTAATAAAAATAATGATATAAACAGGTTTTCTTCATTCTGATTTATGATGATATTTGTTAGAACTGGTAAAGAATGCATTAAATAATTTTTATTTAGATTATGTGATGATAAAGCTAAAAATTATTAAAGTATTAAAAAAACATAAAGAATGTTTCCGTATATCAAATAAGAAAACCACTAATTAATAAAAAAAATACTTGGCTTAATAATATTTTACAGTAAATGACTTAATGTTCGGTAAAAGTAGTTAAAAGCTTATAATATTTAACTTATAATTGATAAATTAGGTGAAATGTATATTAAAAGATAAAATATGACACATAGTATTATTTTAATATAATATTAAAATTAAATAAAAAAGAGTGATGTAAAATTTGTATTTATGTTTAATTTATTTAAAAGGATAAAAATAAAAATGAGATAAAATTATTAGTAGCTAAAAATTATGAATTAAATGCTATTTTGAGAAAACTTTTAAAACTTAAAAGTTTATTTTAATTTTTAATTACTAAAAAACTTTATAAATATTTATTTTAAATAATTTCTTATCTGTGCTTTTTGTTTTCTATCCTTTGTTCTACATCTTTAAATATTTTAATTTTACTTTGTTAAAAATATTCTATATTTTTATTTGCTATTTTTATATACCTTTCGCATTTTACATGTCTTCTAAATCTGTAAGTTTATTCTTTATCTCCTAACAAAAATAAAGGGCAACCACACATATATAGTTGAATTGACTTTCAAAAGTTAACTAAGAGACGAAGGATTCTTAAGCCTTTGAAAGGAAAATAATTTATATTCAAAATCTGTTTATTCTTACATGAGTTTGCTATTTAACTTAAATAGCCTACTAATTGCATATCATTAACTAATTCTTAAAATTTGGGTCTAATTTTTTAATACAATAACTCTCTCTCTCTCTCTCTCTCTCTCTATATATATATATATATATATATATATATATATATATATAATAATAATTTCCTGAATGTTATTCCATATTTTGTTATAAAATAAAAATTTGAGGACATAAAATATTATATGGAAAATAATTTTGTGTAATTTTCAATGCCTCATATATTATTTATTTAATTTTCTAAAGATAAATAAATTTATTAATAATTTTTCAATGTAAAAAATATATATTCTTCAATAAATGCGAACAACATCAAAATAATGTGAAACGGGTGAGAAATGATAAAAAAGAATAAGAGTGATAATTATTTCATGAAAAAGAATGTTAAAAAAATTCCTTTTAAGTTGAAAAATAAACTAAAATCTTCTTATTCAATTAATTGTTAATAAATTATTTTCAAACCTTCAAGTTCTTATTTATTGTTAACATTTTAAAATATTGTAGATTTAAAGTAATATTTATAAAAATTACTCTTTAAATAACTGTTAGTGGTTCATATATTACTATTTTAATTATTGAAATAAAAGAAATGAATTTCGTGTGTGTCTATATATATATATATATATATATATATATATATATATATATATATTATAGTTAAATATATTTTAAAAAAATTATCCTTTATGTAATTTTGAATGACTGGTCTATTATTAATTTTTTTAAGCTCATCAATTATTTGATAAATTTTAGCATCCAACACTTTAAAACAGATGTTCCCGAGACCAGACATATATTATTGGTAATGGTAGGTAATTAATATTCTTTTCTTATTTATATTAAAGTGTTTAGACTTATAAAATTTGTCTTTTGAACTTTTGTTGTTATAAATTACTCCGTCGTATAAAATTCTTGAAATAAAAAAATGTAACTTATTAGTTACAAATTATTAATGTTTCAATTTTTAATAAAAATTTCAAATTGATTCTTTTTACTTGTAATATTTTTAATTGAAATTAAATCTCACTTCTTTTAAAAATGAAAATATTAATTTTTTTCCTAATCAATTTATCATATTTTTAATCTCAATAACAAGTATTTATTTTTTAATATATTAAATTATGATAAATAACATTATTTTTTACTATTTATTGTTTTATTTTCACCATAAAATATATTTTATGATACAAATAACTATTATTTAATTTAGATTAATTTCTATTTAAATTAAATCATCATTAACTAATATAAACAATAATAATTTTTTAATTATAAAATGAGTTATTATTTTTTAATAATACTATTTTCAAGATCTATTCTCGTTTTCTAAATGTCCCATGTTTTTTCTTGTTAAGCACTTTTTCTTTTAATATATATTCTTCTCTACTATTATTTAATTTTTATTTTATATAAATTTAAATTTTGATATGTTATATTATATGAATATATTTGTATTAATAAATAAAATTTAAAATTATTATTGTCTTAATCAATTTTATTTTAAATTTAAAAATTGAACAAACTGTTTCAATATAAATAGTTTTTGAATTCTTAATGATTTTTGTTTTTATTAAGTTAGAATCTTCAATAACATGAAAATAAAAAGAATGGATTCGAATATGATGTGAGAAATTGAAAGATATTACACTTTGCAAACAAGTAATATTAACAATTATAAATATTATATTATTTTAATAATATGTAAGTATAAAAGCTCTTACATTGGATCTGAGTCTTTTATTTATTTATATTTAACGGGTTATAATTTATTACTTCACTTACTATAGATATATATTAAATGAAAGGCTCACATAAAGTATAAGACTTTTTAAATTTACACTAATGTAAGAAAATATTTTTTTATTATTATTAAATAAAATTAGAGATAAAAAAAGATAAAAAATAGTTATGTATCATTCCATTTATATATTTAAAGAGTATTTATACCATAATTATATGAATTAGACTGGTTATTGAACCAGTTGATGTACTATTTTAAGGTTTAATGGTTAAATTAATAACAATTAAATAATATTATATATATATATATATATATATTATGATTTTATATAACAAAATTAATATATAAACCAAATTAAATATAACATGATATTTATGTTAAAGTTATAAAAAAAAAGCTATAATATCACTCTAAAATATAAATCAAAATAATAAATCTTATTAAATATTATAACAATCATTATTATTAAATTTATCATATTTTAATGTATTAGATTCTTCATTTGTTTCATTTGTTCTACTGTCATCAAAATTTCCAAAAAAAAAATTATTAAAATTTAATAATGATTGTTTTATAATTTCAATTTTTTCACTTAATTAAACAAAAAATAAAAAAAAAATATTAATATATAATAATTTATAAATTAAAATATATAAAATAAATCAAAGTTATTATTATATTATAATAATTAAAACTGCATGTGTAAGTAATAAGACTAGTGAAAGAGATGTTAAATAGGATAGAAGAATCAATAAAATATTTTTAAATGTTATTTCTCTCAACCATAGTATTATAGACTCTAAAGTTGAGATAATTAAAATATATAATATAATTATTTTAGAATAAAAATTAAATTGAGGTTTATATGTTGGAGTTTTCTATCAAACATAATTGTGCCTAACCACATGTTATTATCCATATAGAATGAAAATTACAGCACAATCATATATTTTCTTATGAACCCATACCCCAATTCATGATGAAAATAGAATGCAGAAGTGTACCTGAATTCGTCATTGGAATTAATGAAGGTTATAAGATTGATGGCAGGTATTTGATCTTCCAAATGTAAAGCACCTTAAGTTTGCTTTTAGGTTTCTCTTCTGATGGGGATAAAGAGAGAAAGAACTAAAATTTTTAAATGTGTTAGAGCTCCAAAATTGCTATTGCATGGCTTGAGCATATTCCAAAAACCTCATTCATTGATTACATCAACACATAGAACCAAAACAGTTTCCATTGTATCAATCACAACTAAACCCATCAATGATTATTAATGCTCATCATGAAATGTGTAGCATGAAAATTACGTGAAAGTGGCTTGTACACGTTTATTTTCAACTCAACTGGTCCTACTTTACCTCAGTTTGATCATTTAATAACTTTAATCTACAAAGTGTAATAACTAAATAACAAACCATATATATATATATATATATATATATATATATATATAATATCAAAAAGTCAATTTATGCATATATAAAATCAAAAAGAGAACATAAAATACATAAAAGTGACTAACATCCACTAAACCAAAGATTTCTCAAACTGTAAAACACCCATATGAGTAACATGCTCATGAAAGACCTTGGGTGGAAGTCCCTTAGTAAGAGGATCTGCTATCATAGAGTTTGTCCCTAAGTGTTCTATGGAAATCTATCCACTCTGTACCCTTTCCTTAACAACTAGGAACTTGATGTCAATGTACTTTGACTTGGTCGAGCTCCTATTGTTGTTGTTAGAATACAATACAACTGATTTGTTGTCACAATATTACTTAAGTGGTCTTTCAATTCATTCCACAATTTGTAGCCCTGTGACAAAATTTCTCAGTCATATTCCATGATTTAATGCCTCATAGCATGCTACAAATTCTGCTGTCATA